CCTATTCTTTGCATGAAAATGGGATGAAAATAATGATGAAAATTGGAATGAAGATAGTAATGAAAATATGACCGATGAAGGGATTCCAATTGATAGATGAAACAATTAGTGAAGAATTGGAGGAAACAATTGAGTTTGTGAATAAAGTAATCCATGACGAACAACTTTCGGATGCTGAGGAAGCTTGTTATATGGCGGTTCAGTACTTTCTCCAGCTGTTATTGAAGGGAAAAAAAAATATTGAAACATTAATGGCAGTTGCCGAAGTTGTTGGCGGTGGACCATGGCTCGCTAAATATATCAGGAAATGGGCAAACATCTGTATGAAAAGTATGTTTATTATTTTTAATTTTTAATTTAATTTAATATTAGTTTATTTTATGTTAGTTTTATGATAAATGAATACCAATTTTTGTGTAATTATAGAAGAATTAATCCAGAATCACCATAGAAAGTTCTTCTTTAAAGCTTGCTTAATGATGAGCTGATTTCACTTTAGATGGCTGCGTATTTGCATTCACGAAAGTTCAAGGTTAAACCAGCAATGGTTAAAAATTATGTAGAACAAGAGGTTCTTCTCCAATTAAATGAAGGATCTGTGCAACGTATTTCTATTCGAACTATACGCCGATAGATGCATAAACTCAGTTTTTGTTATAAACGTTATCAGAAAGACGTTGATAGGCATGAACGACCAGATGTTGTTGCCTACTGACAAACCTTTCTTCAAAAGGTTGCTGAATTTGACCAATTGATGCCAAAATAGCATAATAAAAGCTGTGAAATTAGAACCTTCCCGGAATTAGTTGGTGATGAAAAAGAGTATATTTGGGTAACCCACAATGAGTCTACCTTTTTTACTTATAATGGAATGTATACCATGTGGAGTCCAGAAGAAGAACAACCACTAAGAGAAAAAGAATTGGGTCTTGGTGTTCATGTCAGTGATTTTTTAACAGAAACTATTAGGCTACTAAGAAACAATCTTGAGGAGGCATATGTAATGATGGTACTAGGTTCGTGCTATAATGGGTTTTGGAATATCTAAAAATTAGTTAATCAGATCAAACAGGCGGTAAATATATGTATTATTTATTTCCTGAGGGAGTAAAAATTATAGCAGAGGGTTACTGATGATCATAGCATGTGGGATGGCCTGAAGGGCCATTCACATGTTATGATCATTGGTAACCTTCTACTATAATTTCTCTCCAGGAAATAAATAGGTAATCCCCAGGAGTATGTCACTAGATGTTATCAAACTACCATACTATTATTTTTACATGTAATTCCATATTTATATTCGTATTGTGTTTTACTATTTTTAAGCTTTGCTTTACGTTTTTCTTTATTTTACTTGTCATTTTTGCCTTTTACTTTTTTCATATTATTAATTTATCATGTAATAAACTATACTTATTTACTTTAGCTTTTATTAAAGTTTTTTTCTGTATATAACAACTTAAAAATTATAGTTTAACATAAAGCGTGAAAATATAAAAAAAGAAACATATATAAATATATGAGAAATTCCCAATGATCAATATGAAGACTGAGAATCTTCTGTGGGAAGATTCCCAGTCAAAATATGTTTATTATAAATATGGTTATTCACGTGTAAAAAATTATGCTGAAGGTAGTTATGAGTGACACTTAGTGTGACAGGAGATTATTGAAAAAATACATCCAGGATGTATAGGTAGGGTGAAAAAATTAAAATTAAATTTAGATTTATTAAAAATTTTTTTTAAAAAGTTTTTTTTTAAAAAAATTATTTTTTTTTGAATGTAATTTTTTTTTTTAAAAAAAAAAAATGTAATTTTTTAATGAAAATTTTTTTAAAATTTAATAAAATTTTGATTAATGATCATAAATATTATATTTAATTTTTATTTACAGGCATATTTGCCTTCGATAATGCTACTTCTCATACATCTTTTGTGGAAGATGCACTTGTAGCTTCAAGAATGAATCTTGGACCCGGCGGCTCTGTTCCAAAAATGTGAAATACCGTGTAGAATGGACAACATCAATCAATAATTATTGAACAGGATCATTATATTTATGATAAAAAAACAAAATCCTACATCAATCTGCATGGCCAACCAAAAGGAATCAAATAGGTTCTTGAAGAAAGGGGGTTGTAGCGAGAAGAAATGGTCTTGGATTGTGCTTTGTGTAAAAAAGAAGTAAATCCTAGTGTTATTAACTATTGTGCACATCGTCTGATGGCCAATCAACCTGATTTCCTTGCACAACGTGGTGAAATTCAGCAAGAAATCGAATCCTGCAAGCATAAGGTAGTTAACTATTGGATTTTTTTTTTACTTCTTTAGCTCTTATTAATTTGTTTTTTAAGGTTATATTTTATTTCAAATTCTATCCCGAATTCAATTATATTAAAATGTATTGGGGAGCGGCCAAAAAGTATACCAGAGATAACTGTAAGTACTCTTTCTCGAAACATAAACAAACAATCCTTGAAGCTTTTGATTCTATTCTGGTAGAAAAAATTCACTCATTTGCTAGACTTTTGTTTAGATAAATGGATGCTTACAAACATGGTTTGATGAGAAAAGCTACTGAATATACAGTTAGGCAACATAGAAGGCATCATATAATTAATGAAGATATAATGAATCAAATCAGAACGATTTGATCTATAATTTGCTTTTTTTTTTTTTTTGCAAATTATTTTTTTCAAATTTTTTTTTGCAAATTTTTTTTTTTTTTTTTAAAAATTTTCTTTTTTTTTTTTTTTTTTTTTTTTTTACAGCTGTTTTCATAATTCCTGGAACACTAAAAAATTAGCCGAATGATTGTCGGCCGATCCGGTTAATTTATTATAATAGATTCAACAAAAATTGGCACGTACGTACGTACAATACATACCAATTTTTATTGAATCTATTGCAGCTGTTTTCATAATTCCTGGGATACCTAGGGATGTTACGGTCCGTCCCAGTCCGGTCTTAGTCCCAAAGACCGGTCCTAGCAGAGGACCGGGGACTGGACCGCGGTCCAGGACTGGTCTATAACCAGGTCCATAACCCGGTCTATTGGCTGGTTTTCAAAGTAGGCTATATGGTTTTTAATGATCACTACATATAAAAAGACAAATTAATCATGTTGGCACTTCCAAGTTATATGTACCAGTATATATTTGAAAAGTACAAATTTTATATCGATATCGGTTGTAACATCATTTGACATATAAATTTTTGTTTTTATATTTAAAAATTACCTAAAATTCGGTATCTTATTTCAGATTTTTGATTTACAGCTATCATCGTGGATCCTGGGACAATTGAAAAATTTGCCAATGACCCAATCGACAAGTTACTGAGAAAAATCAATAAGTTACTGAATTAGGCGATATCAGAAACTTATAAATTTGGCATCGAAAAATTTTTTTCTCTTTTTAGCCAATGAGATCATTCTATAAGCTAAGGACCGGTCTGGACCCAGTCCTCAATTTAGGACCGAGAACTGGCTAGACCGGTTCAAAAGACCGGTCCGGACCACGGTCTTGCAGGACCGTAACATCCCTAGATAAACCCGTTATTGGATGCTATGTACGCAGCCAGATAAAATGAATCATATCCAAATAATTCTGTTATTGGCTGCTTCGCCTTCCAATAACTATATATTATTGGTATTATGGTAACTGATAGTAAGCATATCAGTTCAACAACACGAAATCAATAGGGCGAAGGAAAATGGCGTGTTTGTAAATACAATGTATTGAAGGATGTAGAGGGAGGTCATCTTTCTCTTTGCTATCGTTCGCTTTGCAGGCTCTATCGCCCTTCCATCCCGCCCATTTTGCAGTGACTTAGCAATAAACTTAATACTTAGCAGCTGGTTTGTTAGACGGAATGCTTTGATAAGTAAAGTTAGAATTCGCAAAGAATGAACACATTTTATCGACAATAAAATCTTCTATTAAGTATTGCTTTCTGTTTTTCACTTACGTGTTAAAAAAATTATCAGTTTGTAAAAAATTATCAGTTTTAAGTATATTGTTTATTCAAAAATGTGTAACACTTTATCGCCAATCTAATTCTCTATTAAATATTACTTTTCTGTTCTTTCGCTTTAAATTACCAGGTCGTAAGTATACAGTTTATTCACAAAACAATGTACACACATTATCATCAGAATTTTCTACTTTTCTGTTTTTTCACTTTAAATTACCAGGAGGTAATTTATTAAATGTTGCTTCTCCATTCTTTCGCTTTAAATTACCAGTCCGTAAGTATATAGTTTGTACATAAAATAATGAACACATTTTATTGTCAATAGAATTCTCTATTAAATATTACTTCTCCGTTCTTTCGCTTTAAATTACCAGTTGGTAAATATATTGTTTATTCACAAAATAGTGTGGTGCTTTATCGCCAATATAATTCTCTATTAAATATTATTTCTCTGTTCATTCGTTTTAAATTACCAACCAGGAAGTAAGTGTATAGTTTATTTATAAATAATGTATATATTTACCGTCAATAGAATCCCTATTAAATGTCACTTTTATGTTCTTTCACTTTAAATTACCAGGTTGTAAATATACAGTTTATTCACAAAACAATGTACACATATTATCGTCAAATAGAATGATTTATTAAGTATTTTTTCTCTGTTCTTTCACTTTAAATTTCCAGAGAGTAAGTATATATTCTATGCATAAAATAATGTACACATTTATCATCAATAGAATTCTCCATTAAATATTACTTCTCCGGTCTTTTGCTTTAAAATACTAGTTTGTAAGTATATAAGTTATTCACAAAGCAATGTAATACATTTTATCGCCAATAGAATTCTTTATTAAATATTAAATAATACTTCTCCGTTCTTTCGTTTAAATTACTAGTAAGTAAGTATATAGTTTATACATAAAATAATATACACATATTATCATCAATAGAATTCTTTACTAAATATTACTTTTTTTCATTTTAAATTACTTGAATATAAGTATATAGCTTATTTATAAAATATTTTATCATCAATAGAATTTCTTATTAAATATTACTTCTCCGTTCATTTGCTTTAAATTACTAGTGAGTAAGTATTTAGTTTATACATAAAATAATGTACCCATTTTATCGTCAATAAAATTCTTTATTAAATATTACTTCTCTGTTCTTTCGCTTTAAATTATTGGTTGGTAAGTATACGGTTTATACATAAAATAATATTCTCGTCAATAAAATTTTCTATTAAAATTACTTTTTTTCATTTTAATTTACTAGCGTAAGTATATAGTTTATTCATAAAATAATAACCACATTTTATCAATAGAATTCCTTATTAAATATTACTTCTCTGTTTCACTTTAAATTACTAGTGTGTAAGTATATAGATTATTCATAAAATAATGTACACATTTTATTGTCAATAGAATTCACTATTAAATATTAAATATTAAATCTTACTTCTTTGTTCGTTTACTTTAAATTACCAGACTGTAAGTATATAGTTTATTCATAAAATAATATACACATTTTGATATCACTATTAAATATAAATATTACTTTTTTGTTCGTTCAATATAAATTACCAGGCCGTAAGTATACAGTTTATAAATAAAATAATATATACATTTATAGTTAATTGGATTCTATATTAAATGTTACTTCTCTGGTCTTTTGCTTTAAATTACCAGGCTGTAAGTATACGTTTATTCACAAAACAATGTACACATTTTATCATTAATTGAATTCTTTATTAAATGTTACTTCTCTGGTCTTTCACTTTAAATTACTAGTCTGTAAGTATATGATTTATTCACAAAACAATGTACACATTTTATCGTCAATAGAATTCTCTATTAAATATTACTTCTCTGTTCTTTCGCTTTAAATTACTAGTGAGTAAGTATATAGTTTATACATAAAATAATATGCACATATTATCGTCAATAGATCCTTACTTTTTTTCATTTTAAATTACTAGAATGTAAGTATATAGTTTATATATAAAATAATGTAACACATTTTATCATTAATAGAATTTCTTATTAAATATTACTTTGTTCTGTCGCTTTAAATTATTAGTGAATAAGTATATGGTTTATATATAAAATAATATACACGTCAATAAAATTTTCTATTAATCATTTTAAATTACTAGAACGTAAGTATATTGTTTATTTAAAAATAATATAACACATTTTATCATCAATAGAATTTCTTATTAAATATTACTTCTCCGTTCGCTTGCTTTAAATTACTAATGAGTATTTAGTTTATACATAAAATAATGTACACATTTTATATCAATAAAATTCTCTATTAAATATTATTTCTCTGTTCTTTCGCTTTAAATTACTAGTCAGTGAGTATATAGTTTATTAAATGTACGCATTTTATTGTTAATAGGATTTCTACAAACATTACTTCTTTTTTCTTTGTAAATTACTAGTGAGTAGTGATGTGTCGCATACAGTACTGTACGTACTATACACGAGAATTTTTGCCGATCATTTTATATGTAGTTTGTTTTATGTTAATTGTGTAGCTGTGTGCTATGGGAAGCTTTATTAGGGATTAGTAAATATGTTAATTACAATATTTATAAAGAAAATAATAAAAAGAAAATTTTCAGTCATTGCTTTAAAAATTTAGTATAATTATAGTATGAATCAATTTCATGAATTACAGTCAGACCTCTCTAAGTGTGCACCCTTAGAATTACACTTTGACAATGTGCATTTAGAGAATAATAAGAAAAAGTACATTTATAGAAATCAAGTATATATTTGGACCAGAATTTAAGTATACATTTA